TTTTTCTTGTCTTGGTATTCCTACTAAATTTTTTTTCAAAATTATTCAAATTGATACTTCTGATATTGGTTATGGTGGCATTCTGCTTCAGAAAGTCACTCCCCAGTTATCTGAACAAATTGTTCGTTATTATTCTGGTGTCTGGAATAAAGCACAAAAGAATTATAGTACTATTAAACAAGAAATTTTATCTACTGTTTTATGTATTAGTAAATTTCAAGATGATATTTTAAATCAAAAGTTTTTGCTTCGTGTTAATTGCAAATATGCTAAATATGTTTTAGAAAAAGATGTTTAAAATCTTGCTAGTAAGTAAATTTTTGCTCGTTGGCAATCTATTTTAAGTATTTTTTATTTTGAAATTGAATATATACATGGTTGTCAAAATTCTATTCATGATTTTCTTCCCCGAGAATTTTTACAGTGGGGATAGAGATGGCCACTTCTTTTATCTCTTACCACAGATCCCAAATTACCCATTACCAAGTTCTTATTCACCAAACTGCTTACCGCATTACTCGACTAAAATTAGCCCGAAAAACTACTCCACGAGCTCAGTATATTAACTATCATCAAATCCAAGCCCGTCGCCATTTACTCGCTGATTATTACAACTGTTTGGACTATCATCAAAATTATTTAGACCACTTGAGTGGTTGTTAAGTTTTGTTGCTAATCTTTATTTCTATTAAACAGATGTCTTGTCCACAGCCTCCTTCCAAAGTCTTGGTCCCATCTAGTCAACCTTTTGTTCCGCCTCTATTGGAGTTAGTCACCAAATACCATCCTGCTGAATTGGTTAACCATTACCAAATTCTTGGTAACATTCCTAAACCTAGTTACCTCTGCTTTGGCCACCGATCCTTTTGCTTCATCTAGTCAAGCAGTCACTCCATACCCTCCTAACCCTATTAAATCAGCTCGATCTGATTATGTTAAATCCACTACTACTAATCTCTTTTTCAAAGAACCTAGTCACCCAAAGAGTCATACTGTTTATGATCTGATTAAATCTTATTTCCCTCCTGGATAGCATTTTGTTCCTCTCCATCCAGAAAAAACAATTACTTTTTATAAAGACATCTTGTTCAATCATCAGTCAATTATGATTAAACTCATTTATGATCGCACTTACACAAGTAAAATTATGTACCATTCACTCTATATTCATAACTTTGTTTCTCTGGTTGATTGGGGTTCTCCTTATCAACTACGAGATCTGCCTGGTCATTCAATTCAATACAGTTACTATGATTACATTGATGCTTGGTTCAAAGTCCTCTTGTATCAAAATGAGTCAAACAGTCACTCTTGGTTTCTTCAATTTGATCAAAAGTTCAAATCTGAATTACCTACTTGGTTTCTACGATGGTGGACTCAGTATGGCGTCATCCCAGAAATCTTCCCATCCATAATTATGGATCAAGTCAATTATTTCTCTACTGTTTTCTCATTCACTCCACAGCAAAGAAAATTCCCTCCATTACTTATTTTTATATCCAAATACAAAATCCCTTGGATATTCAAATGGCAATATGGTATTTCTGATGATGTTATTTACCGGCAACACATGGTTAAATGGTGGGATAATTTCAAGATTCCACGCATTGATGAAATTGTTCAAACTGAGTTTTCAATCAACATTCATGCCCCTACACCTGCCATGATTAAAGCTCAGCAGAACCCAACTACTCCATTAACACAAGGAAGCCAACTTCCTCCAGTCAATCTTGGAAGCCCAACATCCAGTTCTTCCAAGCCCAAGTCATCCAAATCAAAGATTAAATCCAAGTCAACAAAGCCCAGTACTGACCAGCCCAAGTCAAAGGATAAGTCCAAATCAAAGGGTAAGCCCAAGTCCAAGTCATTTAAAGATGAGCTCCTCCAAATGGCTCGTCTCCTCATGGCCCAAGTCAAGTCAGACTCGGATAACAGCAGTTCAGAAGATGGTTCAGACAGTTCAAACTCTTTTGAAGGTTCAACTACTCAAAATTCATATGGACCCGAGTTTCAAGATGCTCAGGACCCATATACTTAATTCAATCATTGGATTCTATATAGCTATAATTATCAGCTTCAATCAATACTCGTCTTTTGAGAAAAGCTGCTGATATATATATCTATATTGATTCCCTTAGTCACATGCCTCCAAGCAATGAATAGTGAAAAAAGTCAACTTTACTATTCACTATTCATCAAAAAGTCAACATTACTATTCATCATTCATCATGATTCCTCCCACCGACAAATTCAACATAGTAAAAGGTAGCCATCAACTTTAGTCACACACTGAAAGCAGCAGACAGCTCCCATGTGCTCCTGATGCTCCTTTCAAGTCAAGATTATTCACTCACAAGGCTCACAGTATTCACTCACAAGGCTAACAGTAGTCTCTTTTGATTATAAAAGGGCCTATTCAGTTAATAATAAGAGGGAGTTAGAAAAATTGAGAGTGCTCATTCCTCAAATAGCTAGCTATCTTTGTAATTTTATTTTCAAGTTCGTTTTTAAGTTATGTATTTTGAAGAACTGTTTGTTTCATTCCAGTAAACAATCGTAAGTTTTATGATTTATGTCTATTTAAAAGTTTTCATTATTTATATTTATTTTAGTATTGTTTCCTCTTTCCTGCTTCTGTGTCTTTTGGTATCAGAGCCAAATTATGTTGCTATCTGTTGCTCACTACATTGCTACTTCTGAGTCAACTCTATTTTCCTCATCTTAACTGTTTCCAGTCATCTTAATTTATGTCTATTTAAAAGTTTTCATTATTTATATTTATTTTAGTGTTGTTTCCTCTTTCCTGCTTTCGTGTCTTTTGAATGTTACCATAAATCATATCTATATAAACGTAATGTAACGTGACACCTACATAAACATAATGTGACACCTATGATCTATGGCAACATTTAATATATAGGAAATTGAATGTTACCATAGATCACGTTTATATGAAACGTAACGTGACACCAACATAAACCAGTAACATTTTTACATTCAATTTTAAAAAATAAAAACTCATTAAGTTTGCGAAACGTAACGTGACACGTTACGTTACGTTTATGTAGGTGTCACGTTACGTCACGCTTATGTAAGTGTCACGTTACGTTATGTTTATGTAGGATTTTGTGGAATACATTCCTATCTAAATAGGACATAAGACTCTATAAGAAATTACATAGGACTTAGTCTATCATAAGTGTCTAAAAAATGACTTATAAATAAGTCTCCCTAAAAGAAATGATAATATACCTTTTTATTTATATTACTAATGAAATTTTGATAAAAATAAAATTAAGTATTATACGAATTAAAAGTTTAAGAAAGTCTAATATAATTATTTCAAATTTATTATATTTTTTTAAAATCTTGAAAAAAGTTAGTGTAATTGACCTTTTTTTATTTATTATTATTTGAGTTATTATTTTCCTCCACATGAATATCAATGTTTCATGAGCTTTCATGTCCTTGTCTTGATTGTAATTTGTAGGTAGCTTTGATGTCCTTGTATGCAAGATATATGTCCAATGTATGTAAAAATGATTGTGATATACTTAAGTAAGAGTAATGTTTGAAGTTTGAAGTTTGAAATTTAAAAATATTATTTTAAAAGTAAATTGCACTCTCTGATGTAACAAGTGATTGTGATTCCTAAACAATTCAATTATAAATATGCAATAATTTATTTATTTATTTATTTATTATAATCGGATATTTAGACTTCAAAATCCTAAAATTAACTAATATTATTAAAATAAATTTTAAAATAATATTTTAAATTTAACAATAAGCTTGATATTGAGGTTGTAGAGGAATGTCCATTCATGATCCCACCCAAAGGGTTGACTCATATGAGCAAGGGTTGAGTTTGGCTTTGGGTTGAATCTCTATTAGACTACATCCATAACCAAACTCAATCTTATTTATTAATCTAAAGCAAGTGGTTATATTGTCATCAATAAAATGTTATTTTTACATAATTTTTATACAAATTTTTCTTTCATCAGAATTATATGATAAATGAAAGTTTTATAATTAAAAATTACGGTAAAGGTTTTTCTATTTTAAAATATTATGTTTGAGTCACCATTTCATTATACATTGATGTATACTCTATTTATTTTTCAATCCTATCTAACAAGAAATGCTGTACCCATTAAGTAAAATAAGAGAGAGCATTAAAAAGGCCATCTTCCATCCACCTTACTTAATAGGGTGGGGCTATATGATCAAATTATTCAACTTGCATTCAATTAGACTACATGTTTTTCCTTTGCAACATCTCTTACTATTCAGTTACAGTTAGCTTCTCTCACTTAATGAATTACACGTTTTTATTTTATTTTATAATATTCAATCAATAAATATACATCCTAGATCAACTGCTCCCATATTATGTTAACATGCTCTCTTTTTGGGTAATCAATTTCTAATTTTCTAATAATGCTTATAGGAAGGAAGGTGGTCCCTCATAAAAGTCAAGCAAAAGAAGAACAAAAAAAGTTAATTTCACTTTTGTCTTCCAAATTATTGTAATTTTTTTTTTTCTATTTCATCCATAAATTATCAATTTCATCTATTTAGTACTTGAATATTTTGATTTCAATTTATATGGTCTAATTGAAGATGCATCACATTCACAGGTAATAGGTTCAATAATGGTGGAGACAAAGGGTGGCAGGGGTTCAACTCCATCTGCCACAGTGGGGGTGAGGAAGACCGGGTGAGAGATGGGGAGGGGTGGAGAAGATGATCATTGTTTGGTTGTGGGGTGTAGTTTGCTCAAAATAGTGAGGACTCACTTTTTCATGACAACCAAACACACATACTCTGAAGGAAAATATACTTTCATTTTTCTTTCCTTCCCTGTAAATCAAACATTACTCCATAAATTTCCAGGGACCACTTTGAATGTGTTCTACTAACAGACTTCAAAATTTTAAGAAAAAACAACAATTAACAAAATTATAATGTTAAAACCAGGGGATGTGAAATCTAACTATCCACAAAAACAGTAAATTTCTCACATCATTAAAGAAAGACGATTCAACCCAACCATCCAAATTGCGTTGCTGTTCGATCAAGAATATGTACTAGTTTCAATCAAAATACAATTCAACCAAATTAGTATGAAATTCAGAAAAGATGAAAGAAGCAGCAGCATCCCCTCCAAGAAATGGATATGAAGCATGTCAGGATCAGACTCTGTCATCCGAGCTTTCTAACCTCAACCAAAGTAATCTACTTGTATACTTTTTGCAACTTCACAAGCTTGTAAGATTCGATCCTCTCCTTTACAAGCTTAGCTTATTTTTCTACCATTTCTTTACAAAACCAAGCAATGGAAAAAGAAGGAAATTTTGCTTGCCACTCAATTGATGGTTTTACGATGAAGGTTTACTCTCTTGAAGAGATATAACTGTTTCAAAAGCACCAACCAAGGCCTTAACCTTACTCTTCCTGCTTTCGACCAGCTTACTTGCCGTCTCTTCAATCACATTATTAAACAAACCTTGCGCATCTTTCTTTCCCTGGACATCTTGATGCCTTAAAACAACTTTTTCAGAATCAGGGTCAGTACCATTTGTATCATCCTCAATTCTTCTATTTTTAAAGCTTCTTTTTCTAATGGAATTGCTATCTTGGTTTTCCCCCAAGACTCTTCCCCGCCTGAATCTGAGCCTTCTTGGACCACTATTCTCAGACTGAAGGTCAACCACTTTTCCCCTCCGGAACTTCAATTTCTCTGGTGCACAATCTTTATCATCAGCCTTTCTAGGTGTTCTCTTGTGATTCCCTTTTGAAGTTTCAACTTCATTCAAGTTTGAAGTTTCACTACTCTCTGAGACAGAGTCATCTGCTTCATCCACTTCACTATCAGTGTACTCAGACTCTTCTTGAGCTTCTTCTTCATGAAATGACAAAGCTGGAGATTTGGGGAGGGATGATGACTTTGGCGATGACAATATTAGAGATAGTGGAGAATGAATGGCACTACCATATTGAGCGGATTCCAGAACTTTCTTCTCAGTTTCAACCTCAATATCAGTGGATTCAGACTCTTCTTGCGCTTCTCCCTCATGAAATGACAAAGTCGGAGATTTTTGGAGGGTTGAAGATTTTGGCGATGACAATGTTGGAGATAGTGGAGAATGAATGGCACTACCATATTGAGCGGATTCCAGAACTTTCTTCTCAGTTTCAACCTCATTATCAGTGGATTCAGACTCTTCTTGCACTTCTTCCTCATGAAATGACAAAGCCGGTGATTTTTGGAGTGTTGAAGATTTTGGCGACGGCAATGCTGGAGATAGTGGAGGATGAATGGCAGATTCCAGAACTTTCTTCTCAGTTTCAACCTCAATATCAGTGTATTCAGACTCTTCTTGCGCTTCTTCTTCCTCGTGAAATGAGAAAGCTGGAGATTCTGGGACGGATAAAGACTTTGGCAATGATAATGTTGGAGATAGTGTAGTGGATTCCAGAACTTTGTTCTCGGTTTCAACCTTGATATCAGTGTATTCAGTCTCTTCTTGTGTTTCTTCTTCATGAAATGACAAAGCCGGAGATTTTGGGAGGGATGAAGACTTTGGCGATGACAATGTTGGAGATAATGGAGAATCAATGGAACTACCATATTCAGAAGGTTCAAGAACTTTGTTCTCGGTTTCAACCTTGATAACATGCAGGATTTTCTCTGGAATAATCTTGCTGTCCGGTTGCTTGGGTTCAGATTTTCTAATCCTGTTCTGGTCCTTCAGAGGAGACACAAGTTTCACGTTTCTGTATTTTTGAACATTTAAGCTCACAACTCTATTAATTGAACGTTTAGGGGACAGTGAAGCCGCTGGGGATTCAAGAATTGTCTTTGCGGCTGCTTTAGATGTCCCTGCCTGTCTGGATACCTTGATTTCACTGCTCCTTCTGCCACTGGAAGGTTTGTGGGACAGTGAAGCCACCGGTGATGCAATTTTTTTCTTCACAGCTGCTTTAGAAGTCCCTGTTTGTTTGGCAACCTTGATCTCACTGTTTTTTCTGCCAATCAAACCTCCTGAAGCGTCGGTGGAAGATGATAGCTTCACTGTCATGGTTTTCAGTTTCACGAGAGTGCTTTTTTCAGACAAATTCTTTTTCTGCTCATTTTGTGCTATTTTTTCCTCATTTGATGAAGCTTGTCTTGAAGAAACATCTACTTTTTTTGAAGGTGATGAAACTTCCTTCTTGGTGACACTCAGGGAATCAACAGAAAGGGTTTTGGAAACATGAGGAAGCTTCGGCTTGACCTTTGTTGTTGTCTTCCTGACTGCTGGAACTCCAAGTTCTGTGGGAATTTGCTTGTCGGATGGAGGTGTTGTTCGTCTTTTTGGTATAGGACACCTTGGCTTTACTTCAAATTCATGTTTTCTTCCATATTTACAGAAATCATGGCAAGAACCGGTAGAAGCTCTGAGATAATGTGGAGTAACACTTTCCCCACAGTTTGGAGAACTTGGTATACCAGTAGAGTTTCTTCTTAAATTAACTACATCGCGGCAAGAACCAATAGAAGCTCTAATATGATGGGGGAGGACATTTTGTCCATTGTTTGGAGTAGTCAGTTTTCCGGTGGAGTTTCTTCTGGAATTACTTGGTCTTCCCACAGAGATTCTTCTTAAATCACCTCCATCTATCTCCATCATTTCTGGGGTCACTGATGTATTGAAACTCTCCTCAGCCATTGACCAAAAATGAGGTAAGTGCAGCAACAATATCCTGAAAATCAACAATACATATTTTGATGGCTAAGATGGAATTGATCAATTGAAGAACAACCTTTGCATCACGAACTGATAAATTAGGTGCACATGAGGGAGCATACTAACCAAGATCAACTTTGGTAATGATGGTGAATCAGAAATGATTACAAGCAAAAAATATCCACAATAGCAAACATTAAACATTATGAACTTCAAAACCAAATGCTTCTGGCTGCAACTTCCATTTGAATCAAGTGATTTGGTGAGAAATGGTAAGAAATAAAGAGAAAGAGAAACTCTTCTCATATTTGGTTTATAAGTTAGGTGATAAATGATGAAAATAATGAGAATGGTGAAAAAGAGAACTCTCACATTTTATAGGTTTCATTTCTCACCAAAAGTGGTGAGATGTGGTGAGAAACAAATTGATTGGTTGTGTATTTTTTATAAGATTGCCCATTAAAATACAAAAGAATAAAAAGAAATACCACCGATATCTCTATATCACATACTTCGCATTCTTACCATCTAAAAACATGATAGTGAGAAAACTCTAGATGAGAGACTACAATCATTTCTTTTCTTTTCTTATCTTGAGAGCCAAACAGAGTGCAAGACTTTCAAAACTACAATCATGACAACAACCTTTACAGTTTGTTGCTTTTGTGCATAGTCAATTTTGGATATTGTGCATTCACACCTATTTTAGCAGAAAGGATAGCCAAATTTTCAATAATCGCGGTAATATTGCATCAAAGAATGGAAAAAGTAGATCATATCATGTCTCAAGTATTGAACACGAAAATAAAAAGAAATAATTTAAAAAAAAAAACTTTCTAGTGTTCAGGTTGCAAGGCTGAATGCAATAGTTTTTTCCCCCAAATTTTGAAACTAACCAATTTTTTGCATATCATAATTCATCTTCATCTTTCAAAACATTGCTAATTACAGTAATTTAAATAAATGAAAAAAGAATCGGCATTCTGCACTCTACATCAAGGAGCAAAATGGACCAAAAATAAAACACCATTTCATGTATAAGAAGTAAGAAAATAATATATGATTCTCCCACCTATTCTTTTTTTAGTTGCTTGCAGAAAAAAACAATGCAGTTGAACAATCTTCAATCACATATTAGGTGTAAAGAAAGGAATCCACCATATTCATTTGCTAATAAAATAAGTACAATGGAAAAAAAAAGACTAAGCCAATGGGAATTCTTTTCCCACACATATGAAAATTTCACTAAAAATTCATCAGCAATTAACAAAAAAAGGAAAAATTCTTTGAGGTTAGAGATTGACTTCATGCTAGTATAATAAACATAACAGAACCACCATAATCTCTATTCAAATAAAACATTTCTACAAATTACTAAGCACCCTTGGAATTCAAATCATAAGACAAATCAATCAAATCCAGGTTAATTCACGAGCGCGCGCGCACACACACACACATATGCATATCACTTCAATTAGTCAGTAAATTGAATCTAACCTCGCAAAAAAAACCCACATCAAAACCATACCCGTTTTTCCTTTTCGAGAAATCCCAATTCCAAAAACGAAGAACAAGTGATCCTTTGAAGTACAAAGCAAACCAACCCTTCCGAAAATGAAAATCAATCAAAAATCCAAAAATAGACAGATTCCGAATTCAGATAGAGGAAGGACAGAAAATAATAATGAAGCTCCGAATTTTGAACAAACCCATTTGAGAAAACAAAGAAAAGAGAAAAACCCATGTTATAGTTTTGAAGATGAAACGTCAATGCCGCATTCAATGGAAAGAAAAAGGTTACCTACTAAATTCTTTCTCTTTCTCTTTCTCTTTCTCTGTGCTGAACCAGAAAGCGAAGGAAAAGCTAACAGAAAGTGAATGAGGACTCCTCGAGGATAAAGAATCCTAACTTTTTTGGTTCTGGTTTCAGAGATCGTGCAAGCAATGTTGCAGTGTTCATGAGTTTTACAGACTTTTTCTTTGGAATGAGAGAGGAAAAGTAGCAACGAAGAAGACCCACATTAGTTACGTTAATTACTCTCTCACTCTTTATATATCGCGTTTTAATGAAGCAAACATTTTTTACTCTAATAATTTAATAGAATTATTTACTCGGTTTGATTTTGTTATATTTTAATTAACTGTTTTTATTTTTAAAATCACACAGTAGTGTTTTGAGATGTTGGTAAAAAATTAATTTTTAAAATTTTTTTTGTGACTTTTTTATTTTTTGATGCTAAAAAAATTAGTTTTTTTTTTGTATTTTTTTGACTAAAAAACTAAAAAATAAAAAAAATTAACTTTTTATGATGTATCCATAATCTAGATGTATTGAAAAATAATTTTTTTTTTTACTTTTTTAATATTTGTTACTTTTTTTATTTTTTTAAGTGTATTTAAATTAAAAAAATTGATTAAATGTTTTAAAAGTTAAAAGGCACGAAAACCAAAAAAACTCGAAAACTTGTATTTGAAATTTCAAAACCAAACAAAATTATATATTATTATTTTTGTTTTTTTGTCTTGAGATTTTTTTAAATTATATTTTCAAAAAATATATGAAAATACTTAAAAAAATATTATTAAAATAGAGTATGGTGTAAATTGAAATTTAATGTGTATAACATTGTACCCAAAAAAAAATATGGTCCACATATTAATATTATTATTATTTTTAATTAGTGCACACCAATAAAATGGTCACCCACGTAATTTTTTTTAATAAAAAATATAGTAATATACACAAAATATTATACAATATAGAAATGATGTTGCTGAATTGAAAAGCTTTTACTTTTGTATTTTGTAAGATAATTATTTTTTGTTTTCAAGAATATTATTTTTATTCTAACTAGAAACTTTTTAAAGAATATCATTTTAGTCTAGGTTAAAAAGAATCATCATTTTTTTAAATAATTCTATTTTAATTGTTGTTTGTCATATATTAACATAACACAATCAGTCTTCTTTTTCTTTCCTCTCTCTCTTTTTAAGAATGATTTCACCTTGATTAAGTTAATTTTATTTTCTATTTTTACGTGAGATTTGATGAATTTATTGGTCATATAATTTGCTTCAAATACGTAAAATACTCTGAAATAATATCTTCAAGCCCTAAGACTTGTTTCATAGGCTGATTTAATTTTAGGATGTATAATTTTGAGTGGGCATTTTAATATGCTCATCACCTTATGAGACCTAATAGTATAGAGATAATATCTTTTTATTTTTATTTTAATAATCAGCTATATAAATAAATTCGATTAATTTTGACACTCATTCAAGTGACTTCTCCACTCGGGTCAGGTAAATTTGAGGCAACACTCACCCACGTGGCTCTTAAGGGGTTGGAAGTTCGAATATTTCAGAATTAATCTAACAATTAATTTTGACGAATCAAAAATAAAAAATAAATTATTCTTAAATTAATTAAATCATCCCATAGACTGAGTTGGGTATTGGATGGTGTTCCAAAGTCAATATTTAATTTATTTTTTTTAGGTAATCAATATTTAATTTTTTTAGACTGCCTACTTTGAATAATTCTATACATATTATAGTAATAGTGACCGTGAGCACACGATGCTTGTACAAAACAAAGTCGTGATGTCAAAGATGGAATAGAGAAAATAAAAAATAAATCATTTAATAACATTTATAATTTATTATTTATGTATTATAAGAATGTTAAATATTACAGTTAATCGTGAGATATGATTTTTAGCAAGAGAAAAAATGTGATGAGAGGTGATGATTGAAAGTGATTGTTACTAGTCAGGGCTATTTATTAGCAGCCAAAGATGATTATCGACCATATAAGATAATACTTGAATAAGGTCGAGAATAATGATGGTTGGAGGTCGAGAGTGATTGGATGGAAATTTGAACTGTGAAGATTTGAAGAAAGAATAATTATTTGTACAAAAATTTAATATATATATATACATATACTATAGCACCAAAAAAATTATAATTTATTAACTTGTTTTTATTTACTCAGGTTTAATAAGAAAGATTTTTCGTTAGTTTAAGTACATTCTATTCTATAACTATAATGTCATGCCAAGCTTACATATCTTAATTATTGTCATCTTCTTATTATTATAATATAATATAGCACTAAGCATGCTTAATGATCTGCCCAAGTAATATCATTCCCACAAATTCAGATTATGTCAGAACTCAAGCGTTTACTATATTTTTATTTTTAGTTTTTTAACTAAAAATTATTTCAAACACGAGAGACGGTCAATTGAGACGAAAAAAAATTAAATATACACTTTACGAGTAATGATATATAAATAATTTTTTTATATAGAAAGGTATGATAGATTTGATTTCATTTATTTTAAATAAAAAAAACCTATTAAACTAATTTATTATTTCAAAAGAATAATGCTTGGGACCCCCTTTTGGGGGTCACCCCTCACCCCCCTTTGCCACGTGGCGGGTGGTGATTGGAGGAGAAGGAAAAAAAGAAAAAAGAAAAAGAAAAGGTAACCAATGAGAGAGAGAGAGGGGGTCAAAGGGGGTAAGAGAAAAAGGGGGGATGAATCATTATTGATAAAATTGTCATTGTTACTCTAAAACGGTTTTAAAGGATTTTTGAAGTCTCGTACCTGACATTAAACTAAAGTGTATCTTACTGACCCTTTAGCCAACAATGATTCATCCCCCCTTTCCTCCCACCCCCTTTGACCCCCTCTCTCTCTCATTGGTTGTATTTTCTTTTTCTTTTTCTTTTTTTTTCTGCTCCTCCAATCACCACCTGTCACGTGACAAAGAGGGTGAGGGGTGACCTCCAAAAAGGAGTCTCAAGCATTATTCCCTTTTAGCCAATACGGGTCTTTGGCAGTAAGAATCCTTTTGAGATTTTCTTGATGAGTTTTAAATTATGGCTAAGTGATTAATGATTAAGTTGCTGTGTCATAAAATTTTTATTTATAATTTATTAGTTTAATGATAAAATCTTAACCTAATAATCTTGAGATTATAAGTTTAAGTTTTGAAACAATCACTTTGTATATTATTTCAAAATTGTCATTGTTACTCTAAAACGGTTTTAAAGGATTTTTGAAGTCTCGTACCTGACATTAAACTAAAGTGTATCTTACTGACCTTTTAGCCAATACGGGTCTTTGGCAGTAAGAATCCTTTTGAGATTTTCTTGATGAGTTTTAAATTATGGCTAAGTGATTAATGATTAAGTTGCTATGTCATAAATTTTTTATTTATAATTTATTAGTTTAATGATAAAATCTTAACCTAATAATCTTGAGATTATAAGTTTAAGTTTTGAAACAATCACTTTGTATATTATGTCAAAAGTTAAATGTGTACTTAATTTTTTCTCTATTAAACACACATTAAAGTATATTAATTGAAAGTTATTTTTTTTTTACCATAAACTTGGCTAGATTTTTAGTAATTTAACTGTAGCCAAGCTGTCAAAGAGACAGGTTGTAAATTTAGACATCTTAAATTTGAATTTTTTTTTTTTAAAAATCTTTCAGACCTAATCGATGCTTATGGTTTATCAATGATTGTAGTTTTTTTAAAAAAAAGCCTATCTCAGGGTTCTTTATAAAAAACAATTAAAAAATATCAGAGATTTTAAATATTTTACTAAATGTTCTATTAAATATCTCATATAGATGTAGGATTTATACACACCATGTAGATCTCATGTCAATCTTACATCCATATAAAATATTTAATAAAACATTTAAAATTTTTAATATTACTCAAAAAAAAAATAATACCAGAAGAAAAGATTTGAGTAACATAAGAAAAACACACCTTGGATTCTCTCTCTCTTCCTCACAAACTCATCCTTCCATGCTTCAGATCTGGCATCTACTTTAGTGTATAATAATTACAAAATCCAAAAGTCCACTCTTGTAAGTGTCAGGTCAGTCGTTTTGGTTTGATTTGATTTTTAAAATATATTTTTTATAAAATTTTTAAAAATTTTAAAATAAATTTGATAAAAAATTAAAAATATTCATCATTTTCTTATAATGTTAATTTTTTTTGGAGAATATAAATAATTTTTAAAAATATTTATTTAATGTTTATTTCGGTCAAACTAAATAATCAAAAAAAAAATTTTGAAAATGAAACCAAATCTTCCTTTATCTACTCTATATTGGTAGATGAGATTAGTTAAGGAGGGTGACCTCCCAACCAAATAAAGTTCATTTGCTCTCATTGGCCTTAGTACCAAAAAAACCACTTTCATTGTAGAATTACCCATAGTAAAAGTGTGGTTTATATTCAAATATAGTGAAATTCATATATGAAATAAATTTACTTTTATATTGATATTTTTAAATAAAATTTTATGTAAAAATTTGAAGTATGTAGATTGTTCTTGAACTTCTATTTTTTTGAGAAACTTGTACACCCTCATGAAATCCTGTCTTTAGAAAAATTGAAATTTTAGTAACTGAGATACTTCCTTATTGCTATGATGTTCACGTTCGCTTTTTGAGTCTCATCGTTGTGTGATACAACTTCATCTCTCCTATTTTCCTCCTACACATTTTTATATTTTTATTTGGATCGAAGTAAGAAAGCTGCATACAAATGCTTTCTAGTTTCTAGCTCTTCATGGTTCAATAATGGTGTTGTTAAGATATGAATATTGGGAATTGCATAGATCTTCCAATGTGTACATGTTTGGTGAAGAAGTAATCCTAGACTTTTTATAGGTGGAGTGATATATATAGATGGAAAATGTTTGGTAGCTCAAATTTTTGTGGCTCAAATGGTTCAAATCTATCAAAACGACGTCGTTTTACACTTCTATAAATGTGGGGTGAAGTTGAGGGTCCTCACCAGAAATAACACTTCTATGCTTTGAGGGAACATGTTTTTCTCCTTTTCCTAGTTTCTTTGCTTGGTTGGTAAGAAATGCCAAGAAACCATTATCAACCCCCTTCACCAAACAGCCCTTGGGAAGGGAAAGAAAAGCAGAAATCAAGGTAAAGGTCCACTTGCCAAAAACCATTATATCAATTGTTTCATAAAAAATCCACCTTCACATCATTCCAAAAAACACAAAAAAATAAAAGTAAATAAATAAAATTTGGATAAATAAAGTTTTTCCTAATAATAACAGAGCCTTTCAGTCATAACAGAGTTGCCACAAATTTGCATAATACCAAAATTGACAGAACTTTCTGCCTCCTCTGAAGGCTGTGTCTGCATCTTGAATTTGTGGAGAAAAATGAGGAGAAGAAAAAGAGAATTTTCTATTTTTACTCCTTTTTTCTTGTCTTTTCTTTTTCTTTTCAGTCTGTAATTCGAAGATCCAAGCAGGGGCCGCAGAAGATTACTTGGGGAGATGTACAATCAGTGACACATTAACTAACCACTTCAACAAAGATTCTTCAAACCAATGAGAATCACAATCCGGACTTTGTCACTGATGCACCTACCAAGACCTAATTTACACCCATCAACAAAAATAAGCATCAATTTTCAATCACTTTCATCAGATACTCTCCAGGAGGAATCAAGAGACATCTCTAATCATTGCATTCACATAAAACTTGCAATCATATAACATACATTTATAAGTCTTCATACAAGCAAGAAAAGAAGCTTTCCAACCAGAAATCAACCAATTTAGACAATCACTATTCAACTGCAACTTATACACAAAAGCAACTTTGCGTTGGCAGATAGACGATGTTTACTTGCTGGAAAACCAATGCAACCCAAATTAACCAAAGCTAGCATACTTGTACTGACACCAAAACAGGATGTAGGTTTAACAGTCCTGAATGGGAACTTGGTTTTTGAAAGAAGTGGATTCATCAAATTACACCACTGATGCGATTTGGATAGAAATACCATTTTGGGGGTGAGAAATACTATCCACAGCGCTCACAAACTAGGAAGCAAAAGGCATTGGCATCTCAAGTGATGATTTCCCTCACCAGCCAATCCAAACTTGGATATGCAAAGTACAGAATGAGAAACGATGGAAAAGCAAATAGAACCGTGATGAGTATGTACAAGGCCAAGATGGCTGCACTAGCGGGTATTGCATACAAGACAATCAGAAGAAATATGAGAACCAGTGGGAACTTTGCAGTCAAATGAACAAAGAAAACCAGAGATTTCCTAAGGGAAGTGTGCAGTCTCTCCACAGTGAGGTGATTATTGACGGGGTTGTGGTCAAGGTTTGAACCCGATGGCTCTGAATAGCGAATGTATTGACCCCTCCTGACAGTAGGGTTGCTTATTTGACTTCCCAATGCTAACTTGCAATTAGATGGCCATATTGGTGGTTGATCCCCACAGAAGGTGGAATGAAATTTCACTCTATCACCGTTCATGCTCTCAACCATCCAGAGGAGAAAGAAATTCTTGCGAGGGAACTTTAGATTACCCTTGTAAACCAAACGGGGAGACAAGAGATTGCACCAAGGGCAGGAGATAAAAAGCGGAAGTTGAATGGGTAAAGTGGGAAATTTGACAACAGCCCATTGTAACCCCAGGATGCAATTTTTACACATTGTATGGCCACACCATAAAACGTAGGGCACGTTTTCAACTATGTTGAAAGATTCCCAGCATATTGGGCACTCTAGTCCCTCCTCTTTGCTAGAATCTGAAGAAGCATCATCATCTGAGCATTCCAAACAAGCTTCATTTGGTTTTTTAGAATCATTCTTGAGTCCGATGCTGCCGGCTATGCAATTGGATGCGAAGTTCCACATTATGATAGTATAGAGCAAATGACTACAAAAATAACATTGCTTGCTCGCGTCCAGAAACTAAACCACTCAATAAGCAGCTGGCTCCATCGACCATCAACCCAAGCTTGTTCTCTGTTCTGATTGCCAACAGCAGCTGTCCTGTAAGGTCAAGCCTGAAAGGTAAACTAAATTTTATATTTAAAAAATTTTCATGTATGTAATCATAATAAAAGTTGTCAACTCTGGAACAGATATTTTTTCTACTTTCTTCAAAATGAAATATAACATTACCGAAAGGATCAATCACTATGGACTAAACAAATATACATGATAATAGTCGAAAAGAATTGTACATATTTACATTTGTCTTTACATAGAATAGCAACAGAATATGACTATCAAAATCCAGGGTCAAAATCTCGGAGGCAGGAATAAGATAACAGCATCAATTGGGTCCCCAAAACTGAGCAAAATTGCCACCATTTGGGATGGAGAAAATGACAAATCTTTTTGCATGTCGTTTCCTTCTAAAACAGCAAGTCCTCGCAATATGGGAATAAATAAATAAATTTGCTCGTAGAAAAGCATGCTTATCAACAATCAGCTTGAGATGACTTTTTTATCTAATATACTGGCTATTTTGTTGTTTGGTTCATAATAAACTTATAAAATCTGTATAAGATAAACTCATACCTTAGAGCATCATTATCATGTAATTTTGTACCAGCTGTATAAACATGAAACGTATAGACTTTCAGGGTTTATGATAGAAGACTATTGAAAGAAAACACACAAAAGGATCCTAAACACAGAAACCAGCAACCAGTTTGACAGTTGTTATACTGAAAAGTAGTTACAAAATTATATGAGAAAAGTTACGCCATCTCATCATCTAGATTTGATGCCCGAATTCATCTCAATCTGAGCATCAACTACTCGATTGATATACACAGATTTTATCTATACTGTAATTGTTTCGGCTTGGAACCACCCAACCAAAACACAAATTTGCAAGCTCTCCTAAACATCAAACATAGGTTGCTTTCTTATATATGCGTATACTGCAAATGCTTCAAATACAATTCAGGCCCACATATTTATTGAATCAATAAAAAGAAGCCACTTGTGTGTCCAAAGAAAACTTGGTACATACCTAGCCTCAGCCTTGCTAATTGAGGAGCAACAATGCATTAAAACACATAATCAAACCAGTCCCGTTCAAAAGAGGAACACAACACTAGTTTTCATGACCACACTCATTATATTAAGAGCAACCAAACCAATTCATTGTTGCAAGTTTTGCAACCAATCTCAATAAGCTGAATAGCTCAAGCTTAAAGTCATCCACTTACCAAGCTCAAATGTAGAAAGCTAAGCTAGACCTTGTCAGGGTAACTTAGTGGTTCAGTAAAGCCAGACAAAGCATACAAAATTCCCACCAACCTACGAAAGACCAAAATCAACTTTGCACAACATGCCCTTATTTTCCACAAAACATCCACACCCACTTTCCTAACAAATTATGAGCTAGTGACTAATTCATATAAATGGAGCTAAAGTCAAAACACTCTTGACTCTTAATTTTGCTTGACGACAAGCAAGCAATAACCTTTCGTCTATCACTTGAAATGTTTCTTTATCATAAATCCTTTCGGGACGACAACGACAACAACAAAAAAAAAAAAAAAAAAAAAAAAAAAAAAAAAGAAGAGAGAGAGAGAGAGAGAGAGAGAAAAGAAAAACACTTTTGAGGCATGTTTATAAGATTCTGGTTAAATTATATTTAGTATCTACACTTTTATCAAAATCTCACTTTATCCCTTCACTTTCAATAGTAACAGTTAACTCCCTACAACTTAAATCAAATTCCAATCTCACCCTTCCGTCCACCATTAATAAAAGCTTACAGAAATTGAAAGTGTAGGGACCACAGTGTAATTTTGGTGAAAGTGCAAGCCTAAAGTGAAATTTTAATAAAAGTATATTTGTGTTACTAAGACAACAAAAATGTAAGAGTCAGATTGCAACTTGGCAAAAAATGTATGGAGTTACTGATAGTAAAAGGACTAAAATTGAAACTTTGGTAAAAGTATAGGGGTACTAAAGTGTAATTAACCTAAAACTCCCTAAATCAATCTGCAAACGATTGAAATCCAAAGCACTTGTTTTAATCATAGAAAAACCCTAAATTAACACAACAACAATAATAGTAATAGTTAAGAAGCCTAAAAAATCAAAGAAAACCGCGATAAGACTATTGATAATCGAGAATCGGAAAACAATTTGCAAGTTGATAGATAAACCCTAAGTCTAAATAAACCCAAAATCAATAATGAATGGTAGTAATTAACATGAAAATTGAGAATAAACACAAAATTGACGATTGAGAGAAGCGATGGGGCTTACCGATTGTTGGGAGAGAATTCTGATGGATTCGATGAGAGGGAAGAGAGATGGAGAGGCGATATGAGAGTCCGACCGACCTTTGTTAACAAGTGGCACTGTTAAGAGGTGACGCGTCCAGACGACGTCGTCTCGTCTCGTCTCGACGAATTAATTTTATTGTTAATCGGACGACGGACAGGGTCCCTTTCCCGAGTTTTTAAAAAAATATATATTTTATAAAAAAAATAATTTAGAAAATTGACAAACTTTTTAAATTATTTAAGAAATTAACTTATTTTTTAAAATTACATTTTGAAAATATAATTTTAAATTAAAATTATATTTTCAACATACAATTTTACCTTAAAATCGCATGTTAAAAATGCAATTTATGATGACATGAACTTTACTTTTTGAAATTTCATTTTTAACATGCGATTTCAAAGTGAAATTACATGTTTGTTAACACCATAAATCTGCAATTTTTATTATTATTTATTATTTATATAATTGCAGGACACGTGGCATCCTCTTATTCATTTGGAAGCTAAAAGAAGTTATAGAGATAATGGAGAATATGAAGGACAAAGTGGATGAGTGGGAAGACAAAGTGGATGAGTGGAAGGACACATGGCAAGACAAGAATGAAGATGGAAGAAATGGGTAGTTACTAAGTAGTTATTGCTGTATTTTTTCTTCTATAAATAGCCATTAATGGCTACATTGTAAAAGACCCAGAACTTAAATCAAAGACAATTGATTTCAATATTTCTTGTCATTTTCCTTATCTTAGGAGTAGTTTAACATAGATTTATATTTCGAAGCATTTATTTTCAGTATTTCCATTTCGAAGCATTTTATGTACTTTCTTTTCGAAGCATAGGAGTAGAGGTAAGTAATTATTACTTCGATTGTTCACTCAATCATCTTTCTCCGTTGTGTTGATACAAGCTCTACAACAAAAAAAAAAAAAAAACTTCAATGGATAAACTACGAAAATGACAAAACATAAAACAAATGTATTTGTAATTTAACCCTTTTTTATTAGCTAGCAAGAAAGCGTTTGGGTTTTTTATTTATTTATTGTGGAGAAGTGGTTTGGAAATATTTTTCTGATCTTGGGGGACGCTCGTGATCCGTTGATAGTCAACTGAAAAGGAATAAACACTCCGGTCGGGAGTGCCAGAATTAGCACTCCGACGGACAAGTCAGTCTCAACTCTCAAAATTACTTATATTCTAAGTTAAGCACAACAATTCTCACATACCTTTCTTAGTCTGTTGTTCCTTTATTTATACTCGTTTCGTGGGCCTCGGGGCCAGGTCCACTTTTCACTCTAGGCCAGGTCCACTTTTCACTCATTATCCTTTTATTTACTCGGCTCCATAGTTCAGTATCTACTTGGCTTATCTGTTTTATTCGGCTTCCTGATCGTGCAGGAAAGAGCTGAGTAATATCTGTTTTCTAGAGTACGCTTCTGATTCTTCCAATTATTCGGCCCCTACAATTACCCCCTAAACACCCCTACTAGCATCAGTTAGTCGGCGTGTTTGGTTTCTAGTCTGGGAAGTCAAAAATTCAGCGGTTAATCCTCTCCCCGATGCGTGTCAGAATGCGTACATGCCTATTGGTCATTGTAACGCTTTCCCGCCTCATTCGTGCTTCTCTCGCATTTATCACGATTTGAAACGTCAGTCCCTTCGAATGCACGCTTTTTCGAATATTTGAGCCTCCTAGATTGCCAGTCGGTATCTCTTCTCTAACTCGCGTTTTCTGCAACTCCTTTCCGTTTCTTCTTGTCGCCTTTGCTTTTTGTAAGTTTTCTTCTCTTTTCTTTGTAATCCTACTTTCTGTATTTATTTTTAATTTAGAATATCCTTGGGTCCTTACGAGAATGGCTAAACATTTGAAAGACCTCCTTTCCGAGGGTTGAATTTCTGGGTTCCGACGACATTTCTCTATTCTTGACGATGTCCATCTATCTCTAGTAACGGACAATACCCTTGATATGGAGAGGGAAGACCAAAATACCATCGTTTTTCCTCTCCTTTCCATTGCGGAGGGCGGGGTTCGTTTTCCTCTTCATCCATTTCTTAGGGCCATCCTCCGCAATTGGGGTATGATTCCTTCCCAACCCAATGTGAACTTCTTTCGAATCATAATGGGAATCGTAGCGTTGAACCGGCGCCTAGGATCAACCTTGGCATTTCGGTGATTCGGCACTGCTATGCCTTAGCCAAATCCTCCGGTCGGCTCGGGCGCTATTTTCTCAGGGCCAAGGACACCGACCATCACTTGGTTACCATGCTTGCCAGCTCTGGCAAACGAGTTGACGATGTAATGGTCAATGTCCGTGGCAACTGAGAATTCGGTGAGGGCGAACATTGCCTAGACCCTATTCCCAGAAAGAGGGGCGAACCAGGTTGCCGTGTAACCCCTTGTGTCTATTGATCTTTCTTTTATTCGGCTTTTTCTTCAAGTCTAATTCTTTGTTTTTACAGGCAGTAAGTTGAAGAGGATTTTGACCTCAGTTGACGACGCAGTCCTTGTGGAAATTAGGACTGCACTAAAATATTTTGGCGGTCCAAACGTACAGAATCAAGGGAGATTCGCCCATATACTCTTGTGGTACAAGTGTACTTATACTACGTTCTCAGCTGCGGACAACATTCCGATCCTGACCGGCGAACATCACCTTACGGCTCTAATCTTCCCCAGCTTCAAGACCCTTAGGAAAATTGGTCTCAAAGCTTCCGATTCAGAATAAGAGGTAACGCCGGTGGTCGAGGTAGTTGCCGCACCAACGAGAGAGTTTGCTGCAGAGGCTGAAGAGGTCGACGAAGCTCTAAACTCAACGTTCGAGGCAGCCGGTCTTTACCAGCCTAACTCGCCGTCCACTTCGGGTCGGGCAGAATTTTCCTTCGGAGATATTTTTATAAATTTGAAAGACCTACCCAGCTCTTTTTCTAAAGGTATGGCCTGGGAAAATCTTACGCAGATGGCGCGAAAGAGAAATGCCGAACGAATGGCAGCTCGAAAGAAAGCCGAGGTCGCCCGTTATGAACCTGACTCGATTGAGTCTTCGCAAACCGTTATTGGAGGAGAGACGGCTCAAGTTATGGTGGCCAAGATGGAGAAGGAAGTTAACCAGCAGTTTACAGAAGAACGACTGATTTCAGAAGGGCGGGGCGAAAAACGTACCACCGAGGGAAAAGTCGGCTCGGAGGATAGCCCTGCTGGCAAACGGCCTCGATTAGAGGAATCAGACGTGATTCCTTTCGTTGTTCAGCCAAAGATAAAAAACACGCCGATCTCCTCTGACGCATCCGCCATGAAGGATCCAGCCGTAGCGTTGAGCTTGGTCGCCTCTCCTCTGACGCATCCGCCATGAAGGATCCAGCCGTAGCGTTGAGCTTGGTCGCCTCAATTTCGCTGTCGGCTGACAAGGCCACCTTTCGAGGAGAGCCGAATTTGGTAGCTATAACGTTAGCTGCCTAGTCGGCCCTTCTGGTATGTGTCTTTTTCTTGTTTGGTTTGGTTTTCGTACGATATTTCTTGGTATGTGCTGATCCCAACTCCTTGTTTTGCAAACGGTTAGAAGGATGGCCGAACTAGGCCGCCAGCATCACGATGCCATTGAAAGAATTGGCAGCTTAAAGTCTGAAGCTGAAGGTGAGAAAAGTAGGGCCGATGTAACGCCCTCAAAATAATAACATTGAACCCATCAATATAAACATGCATTTATATATAAAAGATCTACATTCTTCAATTCATCAGAGTATTTCATTACAAAAGTATTACACGTTAACAACAAAAGCAAATGCCCTACGGGCTTACAGCTTTCCAAGTTAACACTTGGTTACAAAAGAGAGTACTAACTCAATTACACATTAAGCCCTTGGCTTGAATTTACATGTAATACATCAAAAGGAAATAAGACAACAAAAGTTTATCCGTCTCTAGTCTCCCAAGCTATGTCCTTGGAGGTGGCATGCTACCTGTACCTAAAAATGATGTTCCCATATAGGGTGAGCCACAACTCAGCAGAAATATACTAAACCAACTATGAACAATGACTAAAAGATTAGCAATTGATAGGTGGCCAACACTGATACATCCACATATATTACATCACAATTTCATAACATACTAGTCTATGTCATTTTTTATTCTCCACCTTTATTTAATAGATAAGCATATTAGTTATATCAACACATCAACAGATAAGCATATTAGCTGTATCCACACTTCACTAGACAAGCATATGAGCTGTATCTACGGAGTTC